GCGTCCGCCCGGAAAGCGGAAGGTCGCGGGTTCGTTCCACGACTGCGTCATACCAAAAGACGTGAAAATATGGTACTTGTTGGTCCCTATCTGGCGCTCGGCATTAATGGGACTGGTCGGCTCAGAGTCAGTATAATGTGTCTGAGTGGGGTATTTATGCTTCACTGCGGTATGGTATCTCAGTGGGCTAGCACTATAAAACCAGCTTAAGTCTGGGCTAGTACAAGCAGCCGCACATACACATACACACGCATGCACGTCGTCATATGAGCGAAATATTCTCAAGCACGACGTTAAAGCCAATTTCACCTCACCTCACCTAGAAAATACATGCGTATCTATGGCTTTCCAACATTACATTCGAGAAGCAGTATAAGAATCTAAGACAACACATGACTCCGAATATATGACACGTTTTATGGATAACAGCCTCTATATATTATTTATCACGACAGTTCAGATATAATTCTTGTTTCTTCATCATGCACCTGATTGAGGAGCAAGAATTAGCTCTGAAACGACGCGATAAAGAATAAAAAGAAGCTGTTATCGATAAAACGTGTCCTATATTCATGTTCGTACAACATCTAAATGCCTTTCAAGAACAACATATGGTTCCATCGAGAACAAAACCAAGGTTCATTAATCGTTCAAATGTTTGTGTGTGTTTTAATCTGTTAAGGTCTGCTTTTAGTGGGTTCAAATACTAGATTCGTCTTGAGGATATTATATTTTGTATATCAGGGTCGTTCGTATATCAATTTGGTTCTTCAGCATCACTCACATCAGCTAGATACGCCATAATATACTAACGAAAAAAAGTAACTGTGCATAACATAAAATTGCATAAAATAACAGTTATTTGAAAAGTTATAATAACAGCCCTAAATAAACATACAGCAAAGCGCTTTGCATGAAATTTGATGTCTCGTATCGTGCGTTGCAAGTTCACTTTGTGCCCAATAAACTTACTCACATTTGGCATGCTTTTTGAAGGTGTGTGAAGTTCACACACATGAGATTGAAAATTGAAGGACGGTTGATTATTCTCTAGCCTTTGAATGTTGTGGAAAACATGTTAGGTTCAAAACTGCGCGTATGTCATGCCACGGCTTACAGTAAATCAGTGCCGTGAGTATGCTGGAGACTGGAATAGCCCAAAATGAAGTGGCCAGACATTTTGGTGTCCATCGAAACACGATTTTATATCTCTGGAGACGTTTTCAACATAATAGGAACGCGAGAGATTTGCCTCAGACTGGCCTTCCAAGCGTGACGTCACGTCAGCAAGACAACCACATACGGCTGACTCATCTAAGGAATCGATTCCAGACTGTCAGTTTGACTGCTCGGACCATTTCTGGCTTACGTCAAATCAGTCCCAGGACTGTACGGAACCGAGTGAGGGAGCACAACATCCAGCCCCGACGGGCTGCAATACCCCCCTATAACGCCACCGACAGGCACGTCTTGCCTAGTGCAGACAGCATCTACGGTACAGGAGACAATATTGGGAGTGTGTTTTGCTCAAAACACATTGGGCCTCATGTGCAGCCGTTCATTCAAGGACAGAAACGTAACTTCACGCTTCAGCACTTTAATGCCCTTCCACGCGTTGCTCGTGTTGTGACAGACAGCCGAACATTCCGATACACCCCTAGCCAGCTGTTTCCCCCCGGACCTGTCCCCTATCGAGCAGGGCCCCGTTCCTGAAAGCGATCGTAGCGCTACGACTGTCGTAAGTCTATGTTAAAGTATGGGAGTAGTCTCTCGTACAGACCCTGAAGCAAATATATCCAAGAAAGTCCAAGCAAGTCTAGAAAATGTGGCAAGTCTAGATTTCCTCAGCTTCAGGAAAAACGGGGCCCAGGACGTTTATGTAAAACCCAGAATCAGGCACTGACGTTAGCTGAATTGGGACAAGCGTCAGTTCAGACACGGAACAGTATTCCCCAAATTTTCTTCAATCGCTTAGTGTCGTCTATGCATCGTTGTTGCCAAACCTGCATCAACACCAATGGTGGACACACACGATACTGAATATGTGAACTGATTTTTGTCACCACATCTCTTGAAGGGCGTGTCACGATGCCTTGTGTCAAATCGTACAGATTTCGATATTACCCTGTCAACAATTAAACAATGATTAAGGAAAACACCACACATCATGTTATTATCTTTTTGCACTAAGAAAAATGGCATACCATAAAATAATCCACAGTTACTTAAGTCCAGTAGTATAGAACTGAAATGTTTAATAGCGTTTAAAACTTTCACACAAATATTTTATGAGGAAAGTAGAAAATGCGAGGACAGTCGTTGATATCAAATAACTTTTAGTAATTAGAAAAGAATCGAAATAACACATCATATAATGTCCATATTGTCTGTTAATGACAATTGTGAAACTGAAATTTATGGATTTCAATTTCTGTAACATGAGTAACACAACGTCTCGGGGTGTATTCTTACGCCTTCATCACCATAAAATCTACCTTTATATGTTTCACTTCTAATTGCCATTCAAAGATTGTATAGTCCATCATTATTAGTAAAAGAAGTACAAAAACAGTCTGTGTTAATCTTGCGTCAACATTATAGTTTTAGATTCTTGTGACATAGGCATTGCTGGGGGTATTACGTGTAAAAACTACATAATTACTGAAATACACAAATCCGGAATATCGGAGCAGATATATCTCATCGGTTATTCTAGGTTGGAAGTCAGTCCGGTGTGAAGTTATCAATCGTTTCTCTTTGAAGTGTGCCATAAAAACATCATGTTTTTATGGCACATTTCACTTATGCAACCTCACAATTTCTCCCCAAGCGTGAGACGCTCCCATAAACTGGGCACATGTCTACAAATTATTACAGCAGAAGGAGAAAAGTGCGCATTTAGGGATGCTCCACTGGAGCTTACCGGGACAATACATATATGTGTGCTTTAACAGGGACTATAACCAACGCCGTGTGTTTTTTAGATACTCACAAAAGATAACAGGTCACAGGCCAACGAAACCCAGTAGGATTGTGGGAGATACAAGGAGATAACTGTGCTGGCCTGACTCTGAGGGTGTGGTTTGAAGCCGGATGGGACTCTAGCCAACAAAAGTACTAGAATCTATACTTTACTGAAAGTGTACTCCCAAATATAGCACGTGTAAATGTTGTAAAGTAAACTTGATACAATTCAACTTTTATATTATGTATTTTTAGTTGTACTGAGTGGAAAACGTCAAAGCTAAAACTGACAAAAGCATATTGGTACAGCTTGCTGAAATTAATGCAAAACGAGTTTCAGTACTTTCGTTTTCGTAAACACATTTATGCAACGCTTATCAAATACAGACAGCAGTCGATACATTACACCAAAGCAATGATGTCACAACAATGATGCTCTGGATAAACTTTGTAAGAGTTGAAAGGTTGATAATTGTGACCAAACTCAAATATCCTTATTAACTGATGCAACAAGCAAATAGAACAATATTGAACCAAATCATCAGCGACACTTTTTAACAATGGTAGCCGGGTGAAGTGAATGAGTGAAGTTTAGTTTTGCGCCGCATGCAGCAGTATTCCAGCTATATGGTGGCGGTCTGTAAATATTCGAGTCTGGACCAGATAATCCGGTGATCAACAGCATGAGCATCAGTCTACGCAATTGGGATACGATGACATCGTCATCATCAAAATATTTTATTACATATGAAGGCCACAGGCCCATATACATATTGATATATATACATATTCGTGAACGAAAAGAGGAAACCATTTTTTAAATTCATAGTATTTACCTGTCTACCTGCTAAGATCATCTTACACCCCCAGTGAAAAACATCAGTAACATATATATGTATGTAGCTGCACTGCAGAATTTTAATTCATATGCCAGCCAGTCATATGTGGCCACCCGATCCCCTTAGACGCCTCATACGACAAACATGGGTTACTGAAGATCTAACCCGGGTCTTTACGGGTAGCCGGGTCAAGGGTCAAACCAAAATAACGAAAGATCAGGTAACCATAACAACAACTGAAAGAATAACTCACTATTACACACTATTTAAGCATATTTTATGTAATTTCAAACTACTTAAAACTACGATGCACGTAATTCACAATTGTTTCCCATTTTCCAAAGAAATTGTTTGGCATTTCCTGTTTTATATACTATCACTATGATTAATACGTGGTAGCTGGGATCCAAATTGTTACATACTTATATCTACTGAGATGGCTTCAGACTGGACCCCGATGTTTGTTTGGACCCCAGTTACTGAGTCGATCTCCTGCAGCAAGGGCAGAATAAACTACAAAAGGTAACGCCAATTTCTAGTTGCTATGAAAGCAGATCAGGATCGTACTTCATGTTTTATTAACGGCGGATCTGTCATTACTCAGAATACAGGCACATACTGACAAACAACGTTAAGTTGAGCACCGACCTGACAATTGACCCGTATTAGCATGTATGAGTGCCGCCACTGGCGCTTCCCATTGTTAGCGAAGGGGCCCCAGGTTGTCCGCGATCAATTGTAGTGCGACTTGCAACACCGACGTGAGAGTCTTATGAGCAAGGCGTGTGCAGCTACCCGCGGAATCAATTTCATCGTCATGTAACGCACGTGCACTAGAATACATCTGCTCTACTTTTCACAAACCAAATGGTTTGTTCATTGCCGTACGCCGACCACTTCTCGTAAACGCGTTCTCTGCGCCGGTCCAACTTATCCTGCCTTGTTTGCCAGTAACTGCATTGTTCTGGGGAGTGTTATTCAGTTAGCGGAAATTGCCGATAGAATCCGAATGTCTGGTGAATGCGACGTTTAAAAAACGGAAAAGATATAGGAAGCGTCAGTAAAATCTGCAGTATTATACGCCGCTGACATGTTCATTCGGAATGATTGATGTTGGATCAACTCAACGACAGGGTTGAGTTGTTGCCCGAAATACAGTCGTATGACGGGCTGACAATCAGCAACATGATATGACACATGCTAAAACCTCCACGTCCGTACCCTAACAGCCCTCGTCCACACCCCAACAACCCCTCGTCCACAACCATACAGCCCTCGTCCACGTCCACCCACAGCCCTCGTCCACACCCCAACAAGCCCTCGTTCACTAACAACTCCTCGTCCACACCCGACGTCCGCACCCCAAGCCCTCGTTCACCCCAACAGGTCCTCGTCCACCCCCACGTCCGCACCCCAGCAACCCTCGTCACACCCCAACAACTCCTCGTCCACACCCCGACGTCCGCACCCCAGCAACCCCTCGATCCACACCCACGTCCACACCCAGCAACCCCACGTCCGCAACCCTAACAATTCCTGATCCACACCTAACAGCCCCTTGTCCAGACCCAAACAGCCCCCTCATCCACACCCCTGCAACCTCTTGTCGGAACCCCACAAAACCTTGTCCACACCTAACACCTCGTTCACGCCCTAACAACGCTTCGTCCACCCCTAACAGCTCCTCGTCCACACACCTACAACCTCTCGTCCACACCCCTACAACACTTTGTCCACACCCTAACAACACCTCGTCCACACAACACCTTGTCCACACTAACAACACCTCGTCCACAAAACACCTTGCCCCACCCCTACAACCTCGTCCACACCTAACAACACCTCGTCCACCCTACCTCGTCCACAAACCTTGGCCATACCCTCAACCCAATAACTCCATCTCACAAACTGCCTGTTTGTGTGTCAATGTCCAACCATGAAAGTCACGCCTGTCATTACGCTAGAGACAGCTATGTGAAACAGGGATCAGGGGAGTTCAGCAAATTCCCGTGGAATTATGTTCCAATCCTTATATCTCGCTTCTCATGCACTTTCCAGAACAATGAACCGCGTGCGTTCAATCAGCATGTCCTGCTGGCCTTGGACGTGGGTGAGTCCGTCATTGATTGCACTTTGTTGTTAACATTTTACTTCAAGAAGTGATTTTTTCCATACAATGAGTGGGGATTAGTGTGTTCAAATGTTAGGACGCAAAAGTACATTGATTGTAATTGAATTCACCTCGGTAAACCCAATATCGGACAGCAACCATTCAACGGTGACCACAATCCATCCCCCACCCACACAGAAAATCGAATGGTTGCTTCCTGAAACATTTCCGAAAAGCAAGGTAATCAAAACATCCTCAAACCGGACATGTTTGATTTGTACACATACGGCTTATTTTCAAATGGATCGATAGCTATTGTTTTAACCTCCTCCTCCTGGAAGATATCCAAGGAATCTGGGGACGGTGGGGTAGCCTAGTGGTTAAAGCGTGTACTAGTCACGCCAAGCGTACACTCGTCACTTGTCAAGAACCGGGTTCGATTCCCCATCGGGGTACAATTCGCAAAGCCCGTTACTGTAATATTATTATTTTAAAAATATGGATATATACTAGCCACATAAAGAAACTGTGCACACAGAAAATATAAAGATAGGCAGACAGCGTATTTATGCATAAATAAAGGTGTGAACATAGCAAGTATTGGAGACAATCAAATGCTCATGCAGGTGCCAGGCGACGTGACGTCATTGATGGTGGCCTATGGACTTGCAATGTGTTACTGCACGTGCAGCCTGTGCAGCTGCACACAACATGTGAAACTCAGAAATTGATGTCACTGTCGAAAGCTTGATCTTTGGTCATTCAAACGTTCACAAATTCACATGAAAAGTCACATGCACATCATGCCAAGATTAACATGTGCTCAACGTCATGAAGCCATTGGAATGGTTCGAGCAGGCATGAGCCAACAACAGGTGGCAGCACATTTCCAATGCCATCGTAACACGATATATGCATTGGTCAGGCGTTAGGGAAACAGTAATGACGTCGCCGACCACCCACGTTCTGGGCGTCCCCGAGTAACGATGCCAAGACAGGACAGATGGATTCGGGTGACTCATATCAGACACAGGTTCCAGACGGCAGTGACCACGTCCCAAACCATTCCCCAGGCCTTCATTTGGAAAATTTGGTAGCCTCTGTGCGTCGTCGATGCACTGCTGTGCTTCACGCGCAAGATGGTCATACCCGTTATTGACTTTGTGACTTCGACCTGTGACCCCGACTCAATTTTGAACTTGACGTCATCGTTACGGATATTGTTCATGTTCTTTTGACATGTTGTTGAGGCCCGATACTTCAGCTTATAAAGTGTCTACATCATGTCGTCTTTTCTGTATTGTATTCCAATTCTGAAGGTATTTTCTGTGTGCACAGTTTCTTTATGTGGCTTGTATAATATGGATTACATATTATATTGATATGACTTATGGATTATTAATATTGATTATTTAGTTAATATTGACCAAATTTTGTCCATAAATACAACAGTGTCGCGAACTGGTCACGAGCAAAAGTATAGCTTCTGACTATCGTAATTGTTCATTTAAAGGCATGCACGTGAGCAACATCTGCAATTTCTCTAATTTCCAGTTATCCGTACCTCTTCGTAAACGTCTAAGATCTGCATCACGTCGGGCTTCCCTTTAGCTTGATATATATCTGACAAGCCGTGATATCGTTCAAAGTGGTGTAAAACCTCACCCACCCACCAACCACCAACCAACCCACTCACTCTCACCCACTCACTCATGGGTACAATGTGTGAAGCCCATTTCTGGTGTTCCCTACCATGATATTGCTGGAATATTGCTAAAAGCGGCGTAAAACTAAATTCACTAAATCACTTACTCACACACTCACTCACTCATCCACCAACTCACTCACTCACTCTTGCTCGCAAAACATTGTCTGTGGAGACCGCAGCAACCACTATATGCTGGTGGGAAGAAGCGACAAAATGAATCTCTCGCTCAGGCCGTCCTGACCTGGCCCATAACCGGGATGGTTGCTCATGATATCAAACACTGATTTATCCAGAGTCGAACATTTACAAAACAAAAGCTTGAGTATTGCAGAGTGCAGTCTCCATTAACGCACACTCACACGTACGTGCACTGAAACATTGCAGGATTGGCCCCCTAAATTAATATTGTCGCTATTTTTACTTTAATTCTTGTATGTTCTTTTCAGGAAAGTCCATGTACCACGTGACACCGTCGGGCACGCGCTGACATCATGCAGTATCTGCTTCTGATAGGCGCCATCCTCATACTCGTAATCATCCTCTTCATCGTCATTTTTCTCATCATCCGGGAACTTCTTCACAGGAGCCACCAACAGCGTGCCCAGCGCCATGTTGGATTTCGCATGATTAGGAACCAGGCAGAATTCGACGAATTTCGACGCGGGATCTACGTTCCGAGGCCCCTGTTGTCCGCTCGGCTCCGGATTCAGGGATCGACGAGACGTATACATCGCCTAGTAGCGGCGAAGTGTACCAGTGGTCGGCTTCTTCCGGTGGTTCAGACTCCGTCCAATCGCCGTACGGAGAGGCTGCCTTGGACATGTCACGTCGTCTTAAAACTGTCTCATTCGCCGACAGCATCACCTTCTCCCGTGTTGATTACGATCAGACGTAACAGCCTGCCAGGCTTAGATGACAGTCGAAGGTCACGTGATACCACAGAGCCTAAACTGACGTCGTACACTAGCGCAGCGCACAGCTTCAGGGAGCGTGTCCCGAAAGCAAAACCAGTCAAACCTGTGCGTCGTAACCTTCCATTATCGTAAAAATCCGGTCATGGAAGAGAGTCCCATGCCCGATGGGTCGGAAGAGACAATTCCCAAGTCTGATGGTCCAGTGACCTCTTTATAAGTAAAAGTGTGGAATAAAAGATTTATATTGATCTCTTCCGGATTCCTGGTATTGATTGGGGTTTTCATACATTTTATTATTTTGGTTGCATTTACATATAGCTGTGATCATAACTTCAACAAAGGTACATTCCCCACGTGGGTACAATGTGTCAAACCTATTTGTGGTGTCCCCGCCGTGATATTGCTGGATTATTGCCAAAAGTGACGTAAAACCATACTCACTCACAACAAATGACAGTATTACGAAGTAAATAGGTTATGACATCATGACCAAAATATATTAAAATAATTAATTATTAAAATGGCTGAATATTTAGTTAGAAGATAATATATAAGTTCCTGTTGCAAAACAGGAAAGTTGATATGCGTTTAGTACATATATATTTAAACAGTATATATTTGAAAAGTATTATTTTACGTTAACTGGATTATTATTTCTGTGACAAAATCGGAGAAGAATGTTTTCTTGAGTCCCGTATCTATTTATCATTGAGCCAACTTTGGCGCTGTTGCCAAATGAGTGTTACCTTGCTACAATCTGAGAAGAGGTGTGAATCAGTTTCAGAGGGTAAACATTAGCTACATCATGGTCTATACACCCCATCTTAAATAGTCTACTGTTTGTGGGTAATATACTACCAATCAATCGTTTAGACTCACTAGTGTAAATGTAGCCCCTTATTCCAGTCAACTGTTCTAAACTAGATTTTGCAAAATATTCCATACCGTTTATAGGTATTGTTTACACATGAACTGATGTATTGTAAAACAAATTCGTAACGTTGAAAAGATTATTGTCAGTAAATGATGAAATTCAGTGAAATTTGGCGAATTCTTAACAAAACTGTACAGCAAAACGCAGCTGTTCACATGCCCGATATTTGGAGATGCTTTTCAGCAATTTGATGCATGATCCTCGTGCAATTCATCTGCATAACGTTTGCAGTTGGTTCCCCAAGTTAGTTGAGAAATCCATTTTCGATGTAACCATATATATGTACATAACATATAGTGAGTGCATTCAGCGAGTCTAAACTTTTGATGGGTAGTAAACATGATGTTGGAGATTCATTGTTCAGTTACTGATTTTACATATTTAGGGGCGGTGGGTAGCCTAGTGGTTAAAGCGTTCGCTCGTCACGCCGAAGGCCCGGGTTCGATTCCCCACATGGGTACATTTGTGAAGCCCATTTCTGGTGTCCCCGCCGTGATGTTGCTGGAATATTGCTAAAACGGCGTAAAACCATACTCAGTCAGTCAGTTACATATTTAGATACTCGAGCGTGAGTGAATGTTACATAACGCCACAATCGGTGATAATGCGTTAGGCGGCAGTCGGTAAATTGTTCATGATGTCTGGTTTCAGTATTGCTGATTATGGTGTAGATCGATGCGCATGCTGTTGATCACTGGATTGTCTGGTCCAGACTCGATTATGTACAGACCACCGCCATATAGTTGCAATATTGCTGAGTGAGGCGTGAAACAACAATCAACCAACCATTCACTTCATTTACTCCACAGTGTATGTGAGATCTCTTTACCCCTCGTTAACAAAGTAGTGAACACATGCGTGTCT